ATGCTTCCCACCTGAACAATGAGTTGTCAAAGACAGAGAACAAGACCGTGCTTCAGCACTTTAGAGGATCATGTTGCCAGCTGGAGGTTTAGGGGTTTAATATATGCAGCCTCAAGATTGGTTCTCTAGGTGATTGGAGTTTATTCCATTGGTGGTCTTTGGTAAGGGTTCGATTGCCGGGGCGGGGCTATGGTTGTGGCTGTCCACTTACTTTATTATTTCCTTTGGATTTTAAAGTAGCACTTTTTCCACTTACCTACTGGTAGAGCCATTTCAGTCTGAAAAATAAAAGTCACAACACACTGCAGGGAGTATATACCTCCACCAAGGCCCCCACATCTCCTTAAATACAATCAAGCTGCACCAAATTTCACTCACTCGTATAGACATCAGTTCCCTAAATGTGTCTGATTTTTTTCCTTATGATCCATAAATTATTCTCTGGGAAAACTGTGAAAAAGATGAGAAACGCCCTTACGGATGAAAGTGAAAAACAAACAAACCTGAATCCGCCTTCTCATTCGGATCCAAACCAAAAATGATTGGATTCTTCCCTATGTTATTTAATTGCTTGACCAACAAAAAGCCACATGAAAGTGGAATCCATCAATACACAGCGCCACTCTGTTTATTCACAGAAAAATGGGGATCATTATAACATTTACGTTGCAATGCAAACCTCACAGTGCAAACTGTAAATACAGATGTGATGAATCATTCCCAGAAGAAGTCCCCAGGTTTTCCACATGTGCAGAGAAACAAAACACTGAAATAATGAGGGATCGTGTGCAGCGTTTCTTTCTCCTGCTCTCAGTTCGGTTCAGGGAACCATCTTTCCTCATCAAAGCTCTGCAGATCATATCACAAATACATTGTCATCCACATAAAGGCTGATCGTGTTTACAGGCTGGAGGCTGTTTTTTGTTGTTTTCATGAAAAGGTGATATTGTGGAGATATGCTGATTCTTTTGTGAGCTTCTCCCAGGTGAAATGTAAAATCAGATTCTAAATAACAGTTGCCAGGTAAAAAAGAAAAACAACAGGTCGTTGTGAACTCTTGAGAATCTCCTGCTGCATCGTTCACATGTGAAAGACAAACTTCGGACCCAGTCTGCACCAATTCTGCGGACATTCTCTGGAGTTCATGTCTGAAAATGGATCTCTCAAACAGGAGGAACAGTTTAAGGACCAAATGTTCCATTGTGGGAGTTTGCATCGCCAATGGAAACTTTATTCCTCACAAAATCTTTAACTGGCTGATCTTGGGTCTGATCAGAATGTCTCCTCTTTTTGTCTGGACTTCTCTTGATTCACCTGTTACCACTTTGCTGATGGCAGCCTGGGGTTGGTCAGTGTCTGTGTCCACTTGCATGCAATGGACACAAATAATAAAAGCACAACAATCGAACAGGATAAAAAAACACCTAATCAAACAGAGTCAAGGTAAAAACACACAATTTAAAAGACTGAGACTTCCACAGTTGTTTCATATAATTACTTCACATCAGAAATAAACTTTCAACAAACCAACATTTTACAATCATAAGAAAAACAAAGATTTCAACGTGTCTCTGGAAAATAATTGTTGTGGGAGAGACGGATGACTTCACAGTCATCCCGACCTGTCTTAACTCCATCAAGGCCCCCCGCGGAAATTAAGCCAGGCACTGATAGCTCACTTCACAGCGTTCAAAGGCTTCACTTCACTTCCCCTCTCCAAGGTCAGTATCTGGAAGCACGGACAGCGGAGGTCAAGCTCCTGTCAGCCCCTGAACAAAAACAGCTCATGTTCCCCAACAATCGGGGTCTTGTTGGAGGATTCCAGCGGCATCATGACAGAGTGAGAGGGCGGTGAAACTGTATCCCCCCCCCCCCGCACTCGCCTTCTCATTCCCTCACCTGCAAACCGCGTTCCTCGGTTCTCGTCACAGCGGAAGCCTTCATGTTGGCTTCATGTACTTTTCTGCCTGAGAGGAACCAATGTGAAACACGTTAAAGTTTGGCGTTGATCCAGAAATTCTTCTTCACTTTCTGTAACATTGTGATATATGGCATTGTTCAAGATTTTTCTAACTTTCTCTGAGAACTAACTGTGTTTTCTATTTCGCAGGATTAGCAAAAATCACAAAACCAATTTCCACAAAATGTTGTGTAGGGGTGAGGCAGGACGGCAGGAAGAAGTTTGGACTGGATCTGGACCAAAAGTCGTATCCAGGATTTCTTTTAACATGGTGAGACAGGGTGATAGCTGAAGAAGTAGCACCCTTATCGTCTATAGTCGATTTCATTTTTAAGATTTGTGTTTATGTTTGAGTATTTTCTTGATTCATCCATTCATTGCTTGTTTTCCAAATCATCAGATCACATTTAAAGAACTGCTCACCACATTTTTCCTAGAGTCAAAGTCAACATCTTCAATTTGCTTTTTTTTTTCTCCTCTTAGTCAAAACTGAAATGAACCATGCATGTGAGAAACAGGGATGAGCAAATGTTTGACCTGTGTTTCTTGTATATGAGTTAAATAAATAAATCCTGTAACATTTGCTGTTGAGCAACTAATCACCTAACTTCTTATAATCCACATAAATCTCCTGAACCCCTGATGACCCCGAACATCAAAGCTGGGTGTGGTCACCAGTGGGAAAGACCACACCCTGCACCCGAGCCTTGAAAGGTGCCCTGTGGAGCTTTTGTGTGTGGAGCTATGAAGATATTGTTTTTGTGGATTGTGACGTGTTTGAATGTTATTGCACTAAGTGACAGCCAGTGCAAGAAAAGAATAAGACGGATGCAACAAAGTCATGTAGATTTTAAGTCAAGTTAAAAATAGTTTAAAAACACCTGCAGGACACATTCAATAAGAGAAGCTGAATGATGTTCCCTTGTATCCTTCAGCTGCCAGACCCAACCACTGAATCCCTCTGCACTGTTTTACTCTCCGTTTACATGTTGTCCCCATCAGAACCTCATGACGCAGCGGAAATCACTGAACTTTAAAGCTCTGTGCATAATCCCTCTCAGCCACTCAACACAATCTACATGTATCTGTCCCCTTTATTCATCCATCTTTCTTGCTTTAAGCACAACCATTCTCTTTTTTCAGCCTCTCCTCTACTTTCAAAGGACCCTGAACTCAAAAGGCCAAAAGAGGCTCCTCTTGCAGAGAGCACCCTGGGGCCGGTGGGGAGGGAGTGGTCGTCCCATAGGTGACACGGTCTGGTCACAGGAAGTTATGGCTTCTCTGAACCAGAAGGGTTTTAACATCGGGACAGTCCACACCCACTCCCACTACAGCTATCGTTGAGACTCAGGGAGGATGACGTTCAGGTTCATTCACTCAGTGATGAAAGTTGTGCCAAACGTATTAAAGTTTGTCAATTTTATGCTACTTTAAGCTTCAGCTCCACCACAAAAAGTCAAAGACAAAAGTATGCTGACCTGGTAGCTGAGTGTCGGAGGAACGGGTGTTAAGCTCGCACTGAGCCGGTGGAAGTGGGACAGGGGCTTCTCTGTATCTGTGGGTCACAAAAGGAGCCATCAAAAACAGATTTTATGACACCTCAGATTAACTGTGGCCCAACCCCATTGGATGAACCTATCTAGCTGTGCTGGAGTTAGAATTAACTCAATCTTAAAATGCTGCTCACACAATCATGCATCTGTAAAAAATATTTTAACAGAGTCACAGGGGGCAGTGTTCTGCACTGATCCCTGTCAAGTTTGATACTTAAAATATATAAATGAAATAATAAGAGGAGAAAAATATCACTGTTAGATTGAAGTGGTCACAACTTGTAAACATTTGTAAACTGACCAAACTATTAACACACACACACACACACACACACACACACACACACACACACACACCACACACACACACACACACACACAGCTCATGTAAAGAATGTGACTTTGAGCAGGAAATGAGAAAAAACACAGAGCTACACTTTACTTGAGTCACTTTCTCATCTTTGGCCAAATTCATAGCTGGACTAATATTATTTCCAGCTGTTTTCATAACCCATACCCACACTACGGGGACAGCTAAAAGGCGCCACCACCTGGCCAATTATAGTCATTGTGCTTCAGGGGCAAATTTCATGAAGTTCACAGCAGTTGTGATTTGATGCCACCCAGTGGATTCCCAGAGTTATTACCACAGCAATGATCATCTCAGTGACGGCAGACTTAACCAAACAACATCATTTAATACATGATTCTGCAATACAAAACATCTGTGCAAAAATGTTCAGACACAATACAAAGACAAGGCCTCTCGTGGTCAAAAGGATACAAACCTTTTGAAGGGTACACTGTCGTTCAACTCTAAATGTATTTTTATGCTGTTTTTTTGTTTGGAAAAGAAAAGAACAAAATAAAAAAGGTACAACAAAGATTTGTTTTTGCCAAATACAAAAGTACCTAGACTTGATCAAGATTCACAGTCTTGTGTACAAGTGGTTTTTGCACTGTTATAGTTTTACACATACATGTATCTCATTTACACGCAGGAGGTCACGTGTCAAAGGCCTAGGCAGCTCAGTCTGCTTCAGAGGAGAACAAAAGATCAGGATACAGTACAGAGACATGAGAAGGAAAGAAAAACTATGAGGAAAAACGATATTTAAAAACAGTTTGTTTGTAAAACAAGATTATAAAAAAACAACTAAACTGATTTGAATGAAACTTGGTGGAGGATTCTGCATCAGGGCAGAACTCATTATATTTTCATGCAGATCTGGGGACAGAAGCANCCCCACTTTCTTTACCATTAAAAGTCTTTTTAAACATTTTCACTGTTTTCCATGGGAATAATAAAAAAATCTTCATAATAAAAAAAATCAGGCACATTTAGGAAAGTGTTTGTAAGTTAATGCAGCAAAGTCTAAACCTGTCATATCACTAGTGACAGACAATCAGCTTCTCTATTGATGACCCCTCCAATGATAAGCGGTGTAGCTGATGGGTGGATGAATAAACTAAAGGTCACGCTAACCTGAAGTGAATCTGATTTATTTTGATCAGCAGCTGCTTTCGAGACAAACTTAGTTATTTATCTACATTCAACAAAGCTTGTGGTTTTTTCATACTGTGTTTTACCGTCGGGACACATCCACAGTGATCAGAAGGTTTCATGTAAAACGTGTCCCTGATGAACAAATCCAGCTGATCAGAGACACAGAGAGCAACACGTGACTGAAACCAATGATTGTCTCCTACACAGATACTGGAGGAATTACACTACTGAGAAAAAACAGACATTTCCACAAATCTGGACCCAGTGAATTTAAATGTGGTCTGTTATGAGAGTTCATTGTTTTTATCTTCATTGTTTTGTGTGTAAAACCAGGAAAGCAAAAGACATAGATATGAAAACAAGCCCTGTGACTAAAAATCTGAAAATTCCTTCACAATTTAGACTGAAAACATAAAAAACTCATAAAAAATAAAAGATCACATCCAATCTTCAAGAGAAAATGTTTGGTGTGTGATTTCATTTGCAGATGTGAGGGATTAGATGTCGTATCCACCGGCAGGTTGGAAGATACATGTGGAGACGGTAAGATCGCAGACGAAGTGATGGAGGGAGGCACAGACAGGTTTGAGAGGCATTAACGCTCTTCTTCCTCAGATAGAGGAATGAAAGGAGGACGAAAGGCTGATGCAGAGTTTACTATTAAATTCAAAAAGGAAGCAGATTGTAGTAGAGTAAAGTTTGAAAAGGCAAAGAGGCCTGTGTCCAAGTCTCAGTTAGTCATGTTGAACATTCAGTTGTCATTTCTGAAAGGTGTGAAAATGATGATGAACGAGTGTTTCAGTTTCAGCTGCTTCGATGGACAGTTCCCACGTAAGAATCTAAAACACTGAAGCGTCAGGTTACGTCACCTCCGCACCTCTGCTTTGTTCATTCTTCCTCACCTGCTGAATGCATCTTCTTTTTTTTTTTACTGTACAAGCTTTGATGTACAGCACATTTTTCCATTTCAACGTCCAGAAACGAGCGAGTCGCACTGACCCAGAGGTCACGATGCAGCGTCTCCTCAGCATCCTGCAGGAAACAGGCCTTTACGTTGGTGACACTTTTTTGTCAGGTTGTAACACACGGAGAGGACACAGGGTGGACTCGCTACTTCTTCACCTTTAAAGTGTTTTCCATAATAAAAAGTTCTTTTGAATATATATCTTTGTATTTCATTCATTCAGGACTTATGTACCGTATTTACACAGAGGTTAAAATAAAAACATTTTCAAACCATGGTGGTAAGTACACTTGCTTTAAACAGTAAGGCATTTAAAAGTCAAACAGCCGTGTATATACTCGTGTGGCTGCGACAGTGTTTCTTGCTTCCAGACCTGTTTCTGTTCGTCTCTGTCCGACCAGAGGAGAATTCTTATATCAGGTCACTGGGTGAGAGGCCAGAGGCCGTGTCCGTCTATCTGTCTATCTACAGGTCTGCGGTGATGACCGAGTCGTACATCAGCACCTCAGAATCAGCTGTGAGCAGTGCCGATGTGTGTGATCCGTGGTCCAGCTGTCCCATCCCCTTCTGGATAACTTGTCCGTACATCTGAGCCGACCCTCCTCCGCTCCCTGGCATGATGCAGTGGGACAGCAGCGGTGCGTTGGCGTCGTGGTTGGAACCTGTGGTGGAGGGCACACCGCTGACGTGACCCGTGCTGGTGGAGCCGCTGGCGCTGCTGGGCGAGCGGCTTTTAGGAGGTGGCAGGTGGTGCTGGATGACCCTGGTGGGCGGAGCAGGGGGAGGGAAGTGGGCAGGAAAAGCGGCGTATCCAGTGGGGATGGGGTATCCGTTGACGGGGATAAAGCGCTGGTGAGTTTGGGACACAGCCATGGGTGTCCAGCCCGGGATCTGAGCCATCTGGCCTGGCGTGGGAATAGCCTGGGCCGGGTAGAGGTATCCTGCGGCAGCAGCAGCAGCGTAGCGGGGGTTGCTGAGGTTGCTGACGGGGCTGGCACTGAGCGAGGTGGTCTGGGTGGTGGCGTTGCCCCCGCCACCAGAGGGAGTGCTGGAGCTGGCGTGGGACGACAGCCCCTCCCAGGCTCGCAGGCGGGCGTGGATGTCCTTGAACCTCGTTCTACGTCCTGGTCCCTCCTGCCAACACTCAGTCATCAAACCATAGAACCTAAGACACAAAAGATTTAGAAGTGAATGAATGAATGGTTATTTCAAACTATAAAACTTTGTACATGATGTTTGTAGTAAGATCAAGTATGTGAGAGTCAGGAGTGGCTGAATGAAGAAATGTGCTGCATGGAGCTCTACTATAGAATAAGATTTGACCCATTTGAAAAAAATAGAAATCATTTATGTTGTTGATATCAGAAGCGAATAAATACAGTTGGTCAGAAGACCTCAGCTGAGGAGGCCGTCCTACTGTATGTTCTCACAACAAAAAGAATGGTGTTCAGTGGTGATGTTGTTGCTGAAGATTAACCTCTGTGACCTGTGAGATTACCTTGGCGGGCAGTCCTCAGGGCAGGGCAGCAGCTGCCTCTTCCTCACCATCTCCATCACTTCCTGGTTGGAGAAGCCGTAGTAGGGCTGCAGGCCGTAGCTGAAGATCTCCCACAGCACCACTCCGAACGACCAGATGTCCGAGTCGGTGGTGTACTTTCCGTAGGTGATGGCCTCGGGGGACATCCAGCGGATGGGCAGCAGCGTTTTGGGCTGGACGCAGTAGTAGTCCGACGAGTAGATCTCTCTGGACAGACCCAGGTCTGAAATCTTGATGTGAAGCTGTTCGCCCACGAGAATGTTCCGAGCCGCGAGGTCTTTGTGGATGTAGAAGTGACTGGCCAGGTATTCCATCCCAGCAGCCACCTAGATCAGGTTAGTTAAATAAAAACAATCATTTAAGGATTTGTTAGATGTTAACTACGCCCTGAAAAGAGTCACAGGGTCTTCTTGAACGATCAAACAGGAGAAGACCCATTAAACTCCCACCTGTATGGACATATGCAGGAAGTCTCCATGATCCAGGCTGGATTTCACCGTGCCGTCTTCGTCGCTGCTGCAGCCGACGTCTGAGTGCGGCGAGCGCATGATGAGGAACTCGTGGAGGTCGCCTTGAGGAAGGAACTCAAACAGCATGCAGACGGGCTGCTCCTGGGTCACCACACCCAGCAGGCACACCACGTTTGGGTGCTGCAGCTCGGTCAGCACTGCCGCCTCCTGTGTTGGGAACCAGATCAGAAATGAGGATTTTCAATTTTAAACGAAAAGAAAGACTGAAACAGAGATAAGTCGGGAAAGAAAGCGTGATGTCTGCTGCACACTAGATGATTATCAGCCCGATCTCCAGTCAGCCCTTGAAACAGTTGCAGGGGTTTTATCAATTTGAATCGAGCCCACTTTTTATGGCCACTCTTCAACACTAAATCAGATTTCTGGGTGTAGTGTCACTTTAAATGGTCTCTGCAGCCTCGCTCTCTGCAAATGGAAAGTGAGGATTATATTTTACACAAGTCATTTATTTCAAATCCTCCTTAACATCTGTATATTTATCTGGACGACCTGTCTGGAGTTACAGTTTGTTTTTGGAGCTATTTCAAGCAGAAATCATCCGGCGTCGAGTGATTTTTAGCCACATAGTCTCCCACGGGCCGCCACGTTTACCTTCTGTGGAAATATAAAAAGTCAAGCTGCAAGTATTGTGGGAAGACTGATACTTCCAAAGGGAAAATAGTCCCTTACAACTGCAGTATTTTAGTTTCATATATTTTTTAAACCACTTTAAACATATTTACCAGCTAGAAGCTATTTAGAGCAGCTGTATATGTTACTATTTTCTTCCATTTTAAGATACAGAATGAAAACCGTCCTCTCTACACTACTAGTGTTTCTTTAAATGATGCAGGATTGGAGGAAGTAAAGCCTTGGTGACAGTGATTCACTCTGTACCTGCTGGAATTCGCCCCAGTGCTGGGTACTGGACAGATCCTTCAGGGTCTTAATGGCCACGAGCTGGGCCTGGTCCATGCCGGGTAGATACAGGTGACCCTTGTAGATCTTCCCTAAGGTGCACTCTCCGAGCTCCTCCATGAAGCGCACGGCCGACAGAGGAAGCTCTTTGGTCTTACTCTGCGGAGGGAAGAGGGAAAGAAGGGAAAATAAAAATGGAGCAATGAGATCAGTGGTGGAAACATTACAGCAAATCCTCTTTTCCTCACATCATCCTGTAATTGACAAATTTAAGTTAACATCGCTGCTTCCTAACTCGATGCAGGCAAACTGCCAGATATGACACCAAATATGTGTTGGAGCTTGTATGTGTATGTAAAAAAAATAAAAGTATAATCTGGGGAGTTGCTGCAGTAACTGTCATAATCAGACCATGATGTCAGGCCCTAATCACTCCCTTAGCTTTGGAAAGCTATGTGGGAAAAATCGAGAAACCTGGCAGTTTCAACGTGTGATTTATCTGACATGTTAGCAGCGTTTAAGACAAAGCAATTAGTTCTTCTGCCAATAAAACTGTAGAATCTGCTGCAGAAATAACAGAGAGAGTTCGAGCTTTCTTTGTGAGGGACGCCACCGGCTTTTTTCAGTCTGAGGAGGACTGGAGGTTTATTTGTTCGGCTAAATCCAACGAGGCTGATCTGAACTGTGGGGTTTTAACGTCATGTCAACAAAGAGGATTCACATTGTGAGAGAAGGCTCACATGAGGGAAAAAAGACAAGCCTGAGTTGAAAAGGTCAATCTGGTGACAGTCTTAGTTTTCTCATTATTTACAAGACTCTAACAACTATTAACAACTCTGTCACTCTGTGTTTATTTGTTATATATGGTTATTTTGGTTTTGTTGTGTATCCTCAGTGACTCCAGCTAAACTCTCATATTTAAGAACTGTGCAGGTGAAACAGGAGTGGGAATTTCTGTGTGTGTTTGTGTGTGTGTGTGTGTGTCTGTGTGTAGCTGCACTTGGGAGAAGATAAAAGGTGAGGAGAGGTTGGCAGAGATTTTCAGATTCCAGGAACTCAAGAAATTCCTCAGTGAGCAGGACACACACACTGAGGGGGGCGATGAATGTGTGTGTGTGTGTGTGTGTGTGTGTGTGTGTGTGTGAGTGTGTGTGAAAAGTTCTGAGACACGCAGATGTTTTTAGTTACAGGCTTGTTTCACCCCTTTTTTCCTCCCCACAGCCAAACCCTCAGATCCTCCTCACATCACCGCAGGTTTGTGTGTGTGCATGTGTGTTTATGTGTGTCTAAACGGATTGTCACAGGCAATGGCCCCTGGGTGACCCTGTAGCAATGCCTGCTGGGTAGGAGCCTAACCCAGGGGTAAGTTGTTGATTGGCGGGGCAGAGAAGAGGGATACTCATATTCACAATAATATATATATAAAGGACTGTATAATATTTATTTATAACTTTACAAATCCTTCTAAAAGGTAAAAATTACATTCCTATTTAAAACTATAATAGTTAGGGACCAAGTTAGACACATGCACTGAGAAACAAAGCTTGAATGGTTTCACAGTCTGTTGTGTGAACAATATCTCAGCTGTATAATCCCATAGCTGCACGGCCGTCACTCTGAAAACCTGTATTTGATGCACTGTAAACCTTTTGCAGACACCATGTCGTCATCTAACACAGCGAGGAACGATTTCCCTTTTTAGGACGGTGAAACATTTGTTCCATTCCAAAAAAAACGAAATAAACCAGAGATATTAATGGCAACTGACACTTCTGTGACATTTTGCGGTTCCCTCGGCAGCTGCTGATGGTAAAGTCATACTCATTACCTTGAATTTCAGCTCTGGTTTTACACATGCAGACACACTGTCTAGATAACCACCGCCACCCGCCCACCACCACCCCCATCAACACCACGCCGAGTAAGATAAACAGACATGATACGGCCGAGTGTGCGACCTTGAGAGAAATGTGATACAGATCCCAATGTGAGCTGTGTGTTGACTGGCAGAGCAGAGGCTTGATGATCCACATTACAAAGAGGTTCTGTGAAAGAAGGAGGGGAGGAAGGACAGAGTGAAGGATGATGAAAGAAAGAGTTCCAGGAGTGAAAGGATGGAGGGAGAGGAGCAGCGCAGAAAGATGGACTAGGTGAGAAGAGAGCGAGGAAGAGACGAGGGAAAAGAGCGACGGCGGGGGAGAGATAAACAAAGGAGAAGAGCTGCAGTTGAACTCTGCTGGACCTGCTGAGCTCTGATGATAGAGATCTGCAGCCTTGGCGGAGACGGAGAATTTCCATGTGCACGCTCACACACAGACACAGACAGACACACACGCTCACCCCAGCATGCTGCAACGTATCCCAGCTGACACACAGAGGGATGTGCCATCGTTGCTCTCATGACTAAGATACTACTCATTTTGAGTCACCACAGTAGAGTCCATAACACAGAGTGAGTACACACCAGCATACACCTAATGCAGCAGACGCTGTGTGTAATGAAGCCAGTTTCAGAAAAGCACAGAAAGAACCTTCATCATTTCATCAGTGTCACGACTGTGCTGCTCTCTACCTTCGGCTTGTACGTGGTTGTGAGCATGGACATCTCTACGTTCTGTCCTCGCACTGGTTTTGGCTGGCGGGGGGCGGGAGGCCTGGCCGACTTCTGGTTGTTGCGGCACACACAGATGAAGAAGAAGAGCAGGGCGATGGCTAACGGGATGGCCACACTGGGAACCAGGATGTACAAGATCTCCATGTTGCTGCCGCCAGACTTGTCTTTATGGTCTGGTGATGGATAGAGAGAGAAGATCAACATCGCACCAAAAGATTATCTGCACGTATTATAAAAACTAAATCAAGTATAAACAGGATCGACATGGATGTAAACATAGCTCTAGTGTCTCACCACAGATGGGTATGTCACACAGCTCCATGCGGACCCCCTCATCCAGCGTGAAGCACCAGGGGGCCTCGTGCTTGTTCCCTGGGTTGCGGCAGTACGAGTGTCCCCCGTTCAGCTCTGTATAGCGGAGGGCCAGGTAGGTGTGGCTGTGAGGATACTGCGAGTTCCACGGCTGACACTGACGGCCCGACTTGGTCACGCTGACCGTCCCGCGGTAGTCTGTCCCGCTGTTGTTGTAACACTTGTGATCTGGAAAGCAGGACAAGGTCGTGCATTACTTCTCCGTGTTGCTTTTGTGTATCTGGTAGTGGATAAATGAACTCGGACACCTGGGTGTACTCATGTGGAGCAGCACTGACAGTTGACTGGTTGAGCTGCTGGTGGCTGAACAGTAGGCGACCCCGTTGTTTCACGGTTTATCAATGTATTAATCAATTCATCATTTGTCATTTTTCAAGGAGAAATGCCACAATTTACTGGTTCCTGCAAATGAAATGTGCAGTTTTGCCGCTTTGAATTCTCACAGATGAAAGTAAATGAAATGTGTCTCGATTTTAACAAAACTAACAATCGGAAGGCCTCACACAAGTTTTGATGGATGTTTTTTTTTTTAACTGTTTTAGATATTTCGAAGACTAGATGATTAAATCACTTGCTTGAAATTTATAAATTAAGAATAAAAAAAATCTAGTTTTACCAAAAAGCCATGGTTTTGAAACAGCTCCTCTTAGCAACCACAACAGAGACGACAGGGATTCGTCTCCTCAGAAGATTATCAAGAGTAGAAGTAATAAATTAAGTCATGGAATCATCAGGCGACATAGTCTTACTCTTGTTAATGGGCTCGGCCATGGGGATGCCTATCCTCAGACAGTTCGCAGCCTCCGGACTGTCGGCGGCGGCCAGGTCGTCGCAGTTCGGCAGCTTCAGTCTCTTCAGGATCAGAGGGTTGGAGCGGGCGATGATGTACTCCGTCTTGCACAAGTCGTTCTCCAGGATCTCGCACTCGTCTTTACACAGGTCCCTGGGTTTGTCGGTTCCCGAGCTGCGGTCGCACGTCGGGAAGGCGAAGTGGCAGAGAGACGGGATGGCGAACTGGGAGCAGCGATCGGACAAATGGTTGGACGTGCCGATCATGGTGAAGGCCGCTGGGAGTAAAGGAGGCAAAGGTGGTGTTAGAACAGAAAAAGGCCTTTGAGGATTTCTGGTCATCAACAATACAGTTTGTTCTTGATGTTTAAATGATATCTGATCTGATTCCGTGTCTCTTACATTCATGAGAGGAAATATAGACGTGAGCAGTCAGCAATGCTCTGCTCACTTCAGAGCGTCTACATACATCAAAGAGTGACAATGAAAGCTGCAGCATTAAACACATGATTCATAGTCATCCTGCACGTTTATGGCAAACATATGTTTTTCTGTGGTTGTCACTGCCAGGAAGTGGGATCTGTCCATGGGTGGAGGAAAAGACGAGCAATTAAAAAGTAGATAAGTAAAGCTGGATATTATCCAAGTGCTTCCACAGCTCGTCTCACTCGATAAAATGAAATGAAGATCAGTAAAGGTGACGTTAAGGTTTGGACAACGACTGGTTACTGAGTTTCCTGCAGCTCTGTGGCATCATAAATCTTTACTATCACTGGTCCTTGATCAGATCTGAGAGCGGGTTCATGGCCCCTGTGTCCCCGAAGTGTTCGGGGGGGAAAACTGACGACTGCACAGATGTAATCAATAACAGGCAACACTGAACAGACCTCTGAGGACGTACACAGGCAAGCACACAAAACAAAAACACACACGTGTGGAACAGAGGAGTTCAGTAGTTGGGTCATGAAGTCTGAGACCACTTGAAAGCAGGCTTTTCAAATTATTAATTATTATTTCAGCCAATATATATTTTAAGAAACTGCAATGATTCCAAGGATGTCGTTAGAAATGTTAACGTTGATGTTGTTTCATGTAAATAAAAAGAAAACAAATACAACCAAATATTATAGAACTCGAATTACGAAAATTAACACATTTTTGTGAAAAGTTTAAAACTTATATTCACATCTTTTTCAAACCTCTTTTTATTTTTTATTTTCATGCTTTTATTTTTAATCTATATTATATGTAAAGCAGTTTGAGCTTTCTCCTCGTATGAAAGGTGCTAAATAAATTAAGTTTATGATTATATCATCAGAGACTCGGAGGGAATTCGTTCATCGGTGAGATATGCTGGGAAACGAAAGCAAACTCGTACTGAATCTGTTAAAACAAAAGTTTGAAAATCTGCAAAAGAAATGTTGCAGGAAAAAAAAGGACATTATTAACGAATGACATCTCACATCGCCTCGTCCTCACCTGTGATCTGAGTCTCTATCTCGCCCTGCATCTGCAGTGAATCGACGAAGATGCTGCGGTTGCCGATGAAGCGTGCGCAGGCTATGCCTCTGTACGGCTGGCAGAATCCCTCCTCATCAAACTCCTCCCTGAGACAAACACAAACACAGAGAGAATTAGTTTCAATCAAATGAAACATGCTGCAATACACAGGAGCACCTCTAGATGTCAGCCTCTCTTTGTAATACACAGAGATGACTGGGTGGACTGTTTCTTATTGCAGATTCTACAACAGTTTTCTCTTTGTTTCTCCTTTTGCTTGACGAAAGAGAGTCACACACAAGTCAGCAGCTCCCCAACACACACACAGTAAAGATGTAAACCACAATAAGAATTAATGGTTGGTTGTTTGACCTTGTTGTTGTTTATCATGAGCCATGATTTGAACCACATGGACACAGAGAGAAGCAGCTGATGATCATGTTTTCACAACAACAAAGATTTGACCTCCTTCAATGACTCTTTTCATTTTTACTCCCTTTTCTGATTTCACTTCCCAGGTGGTGTCGTAACTCTGCGCTCCTGCTGTTCTTTTGTTTTGTTTTACTAATGAATTCATCTCCCTCCATCTCTCACCCCCCTCAGTCATACACACTCACACACACATGCACACACATAAACACGACACACAGAGAAACCACATGCTGACTCGCAGGCCTGTTTGCACAGTGTGATCACTGTGTCATGTGCTTTAATTCAGGCCATATGAGGAGTGTGAGTCAACGCACAACCACAGTATAGAGTATGTATTTAATAATATTAAATATAATATATAAAATAAATAGAACACACACTCATACCTCCGGCAGGACCCGACAATCAAGCTGCACTAAATTTCACACCCTCATAGATATCAGTTTAAATATTATTCCCCGAGAAAACTGTGAAAATGTGCGAAAACGCCCTAAATTGCAATGTTTTAAAAAAGTATTTAAAAAATCCTGGATCCGCACCAAAATGTAATGGGCTCTTTCCTGAACCATACCACATCCTTCCACCAAGTTTAATGGAAATCCGTCCAGTAGTTGTTTAATCTTGCTTACAAACAAACAAAAGAACGCAACAGTCTGAAAAGAGCTTTATTTGAAATAATTACAGCGACTAACAACTTGTGGCGAACTATAAAAACCCAGCTCGTGTCTTAATGCTTCATTATCACCCGTCCCTGCCTTTGTTGAAGCGGGTCATGAAGTTTACAAGGGACGTTACGATGTGTGAATTACACTAATTACTTCACCAACTGCAATAAAACGCTGCAGAGATGCACCTGGAGACAAGATGACAATGATGGAGGCACACACAGAAACGCACGAGGATCCATGTGGGCGCAAACAACTGTACTGACACCAGGGTGGGTGTGTGTGTGTGTGTGTGTGTGTGTGTGTGTGTGTGTGTGTGTGGTGTGAGATGGAGGTCATTAGGTTCCCTCTCTCTGAGGAGTGTTAAGTGAGTGAAGGGCCAAGGTCAGCTCTCCCCCTGTCTGCAGATCTAAATGAGATTTCCAGACACGGACACACACACGGACACACACACACAAACTATAGCATCGGTCTGCATTCTGTCGGTTCCACGGAGATATGGTGACATTACGTTTACAGCTTAATACAAGTTTAAGACGATTTTATCCTCAGAATATGTAATTTCCCACTAAAATGTGGATATCGGTAATAATGAGTTCATGTTGTGGTTCGCCTGCAGACGGCTTCGCACCACTTCATCAAACCACAAACCACTTCATCTTCACGTATTTTCCCTTCGGCAGAGAGCTCCTTCTCGTTAGGTGGAAATCACATCAATAAATCTATAAGCAAAGAGTCTCCCAGTGAAAAAAAAGATGAACTGATGGAGTGTTTATTGATTTTAATGCACCAGAGGATGAAAAAGACTAAGGGATAGAGTGAGTTCGGGAAGCCGAGAGGTTAGCATTGGTTGTGCGTCACCAAAGACGGTGGACGCACACATCCACACTGACTTTGAGCCACACACAGACAAGTAAATGACAAGCGAGAGTAGACGATCCACCACAACGCAGCCAGATCCCTGCGGGCAAATTACAACTCCAGCCAGTCCGAACGGCCTCGAACGAACCGGCTCAGTCCAAATCACAAACCGACCGCCGCTGTCTTTATTTTCACTTTCCTCACTTTTGAATACGACTGAATTGGGTCTCAGAGGCGCATTAAAGCGTCTGCATCCCTTACAGCAGAGCACAAATGACTTATAGCAGGTTTAAAGAGTGAAATGGGCAGGAAAGGACGCATGTCCAAAAAAGCCTAATCACATCTGAGACATCTGAGGTTTTTCTGAAAGTCTTTCCCTGGTTTCCATTTATTTCTGTGTGTCTGTGTAAGCTATCCCAGGCAGACACAGCCAAGCGTGGTTGCTATTTGTGTAAACAGTGGATGGCTGTTTGGGATTTTTATTTTACACACCAACGCCATGGGCCTTCTGGTGTAATGTTTTATAATCGTAATTACAAGGGGAGGCTCAGGACCAATAGACTCCAGATCTAAACAGAAACTCACCACGAAACCTAAACAAAATATTTAGGACATCTTGATTCATTGTCAAATTACTTCTTTTTTTTCAGCCTCATTATTTATTTAGAGAAACACTTGTTATGCAGCCATGCTCTTTTTTCTCCAGCACCATCCACATGGCCACACACCGCTTACACCTGAGTGGTGCCAATAAGACCCGGACTGCAGCCAGACAACCTTGAGAAGCTTTTGAATACAGTACATCCTGATGAGATGTGAGTTTTCAGTGTGTTTAATGAAACTGGGCACATATGCTGAGTTCTACTGTTTTTAATAACGATAGAGACATTAGGAATAACACATGTGGAAGAAGTCAAATATTCGTTTCTGTGTTTGTCACCAAAATTATGAAAAAACTACAGAACGAATTTTCACGAAACCTAGTGGACGGATGGGACGTGGGCCAACAGAGATTGTAATAAACTTTGGCCTGGATTTGAGCAAAGTTCCAATCAATTCTTCTTCACTGATTTCATGGATCTAGATTAGGGTGATATTTATCAGTGTGTGTAGTTTGGTGCAGATCCAAACACAGATCTGGATCTAGTGGATTTAAATGTGGTTTCATTAGGGAGTAGAGGCTTTTGTCAGCCACCGAACATTAACAGATATTCAAATTTTAATGGAAAGGAAGAAAGAAATGACTTGAGTCATGAGAGACGAGTCATAAAAACTGTAATATATGGACTGTAAAAGTATGTAAAGTTACATATGAAGTACTTTTCCAATTCACACCAAACAACGATCTACACAAACCCTGCAGCTGGAATAGAAATGATCGATTAACAGCGTCATCGAGACATTTCAAAGTGAACAGTTGTACGGTTGAGAGTGATTTGAAATCCATTAAAAAACGTTTATGAGCATGGACATTATCACTGTAGCAGACTCTGTTTATTCCAGAATAAAGTTTTTTTCACTCTGGTCTGTACCTTGTTTGTATGATTATGGAGGAAGTCTTTTTAGGCCTTGAACGTGTAAAAGTGGATATTTCTCATCAACAGATCTGCTCGGTTGGTGGATGAGATGTTTGTGATGAGTTGTGGGGTCAAGAGGATGTGAAACTCAACGCTACTTGTCGAAGGGAATATCTGACAGAAGAGATTTGAGGAGGTGAGGACGTGAGGGGGCAGAGGGTCAGATCCCAACGACATTGTAGATTTCAGGGTTTGGTTTTCTAGGAGTTGCTGTGGTCGCTGAGTGAAGAGGAGATTAGCTGCATGAGGCTGCAGCTGTTGGATCCAGATTGGGCGGGGGGGGTGCAATCTTGTGCAATACAGATTTTTTTCTTATAATTACAGCTTCCTGTTAATGATTTGAAGACGTTTTGAAGTGTGGTTATGAAACAACATAAGCTCAGAGACAAACCGAGGTTTGATGACCATATTCGAACTAAACTACGCATTATGCATCATGTGTCTGGTTTTAAATGTTTGACCACAAAGCAATAATGTAACATTAATAATAACGTAAGTTAATAATGTAAGTTTACTGGTATATATTCCACAACTAAAGGGAGTTGTCTACGAACTGTAATAAAATAAATGGTAAAGAAAACATGCAAACTCCAAAAACACAGCAGCATTGTTTGCAGAATAAGTATTTGTGATGTAAAGTGATAAGGCCTCATGCTGCAGTAAAGACATCTAACAGTGTACCTCCTCTGAGTCTGTGTACGTGTGTGATGGTGTCCTGTATTAACGGGAAGGTGTCCAACTGCAAATCAAAGACACTTGTAGGTCTGAGACAGAATGAAGAGGCCGAGATGAAGGAAACAAAAGAGAATTGCGTGGTCGCTCTTCTCATGGGATCGTGTTTACTCCTTAGAATAAAGAGCGAAAGGAGAAAACACAATCTGTTCAGCATTATTGCGCCTGTTCACGATCAGGAGAGGTAACTTGTGCTCGGCTGAAACATGAATTCACGTTTTCAGTTTTATTTGTGCAACTTATCCTGATATTTTTCATCAGCCCACTAGGTCTATAACGAAGATATTCACATGTTCTCAGCTCACTGTGTAATTCAATTATCACAGGAGTCTTGCAGAACACAATGTGTGGTTGCATGTAATGATCGCTCATTGACAAGGAGCCAAAATGGCCACCGGAGGCTGAGGTTGACTGGGGTCTGTGGCTGCCAGTGGCCCGTGACCGCACTGGGAATGAACAATGAGCGAGGGCAACTGAGGCGCTGAGTTGAAATAGAAGGCCCCTCCAGGGTCCTCGTGTTACTACTGTTCACTGACTGCAACCGTACACGCTTCTGTCAGAGAGACGCATGGAGAGACTCAGAGTGAAGGGAAAGAGGAAGGAGGGAGAAGCTTCAGAGATAATGTGCAGAGGAGTAAGTGTAAAAATTTATATTTTGTTGTCTGGAGAATTACACTTACACAGAAGTGTAATACGTAAAACGATTCCGAGCAGAAAAACATTTCTTCACATTACAAAACTCTGGCACAGATTTAATTGGCCGATGTATATTGAGCTCAACTCTACCTTGTTTTTGCCAGAGGCATCTGGCAACAACACTGCTTCAATGGACTGGGCCCA